GCTGACCCCGTCGCCTTCCTCCCCGCGCCATGCCCGCAGGGGCCACCAAGGACATGGGCAAGATGCTGGGGGGAGAGGAGGAGAAGGACCCGGACGCGCAGAAGAAGGAGGAGGAGCGGCAGGAGGCGCTGCGGCAGCAGGAGGAGGAGCGCAAGGCCAAGCACGCGCGCATGGAGGCCGAGCGGGAGAAGGTCCGGCAGCAGATCCGGGACAAGGTCAGCGCCGCCCGCCCGGCGGGGAGGGGCACGAGGGGGAAAGCCCGGCCACGAAAAACCCGGCCCCGGGCTCCCCGAGCCCCAGCTCTCACCTTAGGCCTTGCTCTCTCCGAGCCTCACTCTCCCCATCGGGAAAACGGGCGTCACCTCCCTCCGAGGGTCGCTATGGAGATTAAATGAGAGGAAGATGCAGGAGGTGCTCCCCTCTGTCTGCTGCTGCAGGTCCACCGCCCGGTACCGAGACCCTTGGGGCCATGTTATAAAAATACCCTAAGCCGGGCTCGGTGGCTCAGCCTGTCATCCCGCGCCTTTGGGAGGCTGAGGTGAGCGGATGGCCTGAGCCCGCGGGTTCGAGACCCGCCTGGGCGGCGAGACCTCATCTCTACAATAAATCAAAAAATCAACCGGGCGTGGTAGCGCGCGCCTGTCATTCCGGCTCCTCGGAAGGCGGAGGTGGAAGGATCGCCGGAGCCCAGCAGGTCGAGGCTGCGGTGGCCGGGAGCGGCCACTGCCCTCCAGTCTGGGCGACAGAGTGAGACTTCAACTAAAAAAAAAAATACCCCATTGCCCTAAGCACCTGGTGCCCTCAGTGTCACTCCCGGCAGCCCGGGGCTGTCACCTAGTGCCCAGCAGTTCAGCGCATGTCTGGCAGCGTCATGCGGTAAGTCAGAGCCCTAAGCAATCTTCCGCTGGCTCAAGTCAGGTGTTACTCACCAAAATCTGGCCCCCAATAAATGAGAAAACGTCCAGTGCTCAGATCTTTGGGGATTTCAACAGAGCACGAGGTTGCTGTTGGCAGGTGTTGATCTTAAAGGAAATCCTGTGCGTGGTCTCTCTCCTACTGAGGACCAATGGCACACAGAGGGCACCCTTGTCCCCACTTTACAGATAGGGGCGCTGAGGCTCAGGAAGGTCTCACCTGTCGCCTCAGCCAGGGCCGCCTGGCCGGGAGACCAAGCTCACTCCTCGCCCCCCTCACGCCCCTCTCCGCCCTCCCCCTCCCCAGTACGGGCTGAAGAAGAAGGAGGAGAAAGAGGCGGAGGAGAAAGCCGCCCTGGAGCAGCCCTGCGAGGGGAGCCTGACCCGGCCCAAGAAGGCCATCCCGGCGGGCTGCGGGGACGAGGAAGAGGAGGAGGAAGAGAGCATCCTGGACACGGTGCTCAAGTACCTGCCCGGGCCGCTGCAGGACATGTTCAAGAAGTAGCCTGCCTGCTCCACCCCACTCCACCCGTTACTGTTTCTTCGGTTCTTTCTTTTCTTTTTCTTCAGTTAAGTCTCAGTTCTGAAGGGGAAACCTCAGTTGGCCTCTGCCCCCTTACCTGGCCAGGGGCTCCTCCCCCTCAGCCCTCCCTCACACCCTCCTTCACCCCAGGGTATCCACCCCCACCCCACACCCAAGCGGAAGACAGCTTCTCCCCGGCAGGGGGCCTCGAACCCAGGGCCAAAGGCGCTGGGGCCCCCTCAGGAAGCCCGAGGTCTGTGCTCGTGTGGCACCCCCGTACCTTCCTTCATGCTCCCCACTGCCAGGAGGACCACTGCCCCAGCCTGCCAAAGTCATGACACATTCCAGCCCTGCCCAGCATGCTGACCTTTGGCCTCTGACCTTCGGCGGGCCTCCGGGTCAGGGCAGGGGACCGAGTGGCCCGGCTCTGAGGCAGGGAGTCAGGGTCAACCTGCCAGGAGGGCCCAGCCTGAGAAGCCCTGGGTCTGGCCGGGCTGGGGTCTGGGCGGAAGGCTGGGGCCCTCCTTCCCTCTCCTGGGTGACGCCCAGCCCAGGGCGCCCCCTCCCCAGCCCGCGCCTGGAGAGACACGGCCCCTCCAAACGGATCCCTCTTTGGACTTCAGCTCATTTGTGGAGGAGCCCCAGGGCAGGGCGGCCCCTTGTCCCCACCCCCACCCCCACGCCACTTCGGTTCTGGGGCCCCACTGCCAGGCTGGGCCCAGCTTGCTCAGTCAAGGGGCTGCCCGGGCCCCCAGAAAACACTTGGAGCCATCGGGCAGCAGTGGTCGACACCGTGGGATCCCCCATTGGTGCAGCCAAGCTGCCCCCATTCCTGTTCACCCCCTTCCCACCCTGTCCTGTCCGTGTGCTTCCAGGGCCCCACGGCCCCCGGAGGACCCTTCCCAGCCAAAGCCCCATGACAGGAGGCCTCCATCCAATCATCTTTTTGGCCAAGGACAAACTCCTGTGGGCTCTATAGGACTGGCCTGTGTCTCCCTCGGATTCTCCAGGCTTTCTGCTCTGTCAATTGTGTGAGAACAGGGGGTGGGGGAGGGGAGGAAACAACTGAGAAAGCAAGGTGTCTGTCCATGCATGCATGATCATGTGTGACAGAGAATGCATCAGCAGCTGCGTGTCCAGAGACTGTGTGCATATGTGTATGGTGAGAACGTGTGTGTGTCTTGAGATTGTGCGTGTATGTTGGGCATCACATCTCTGTGTTAAAGACTGTATGTAGTAGGCAACCTTGTGCATGTGTGTGTGAGCGTTTGAGGTGAGATTGCATCATATGTGTGTGCTAGCGATCTCTTATGTGTTTGGGTTGCATGTGTTAGCATGTATATTCGTGTGTTTCCAAAGTGGCATGTGTGTCTGGAGTGATGGGTGTGTGTAAGGTGCTGGGTATTGTAGAAGTGTGTGTCTGAGAGAATCGTGAGATCTGCTAAGGCTGTTGTGTGTGTGTGTAGGGAAGGGTCTGAAAAGGCAGTTGTGGGTATGGACATATTCTGCGGGGAAAGAACATGGGTAAGATGCCCCCTCCCAGCCCTGAGATTGTTGGTCACAGGGGGCCACATCCTACAGGTGACCTTGTCCTTGACCTAAAGCCCTCCTACCCTTAGGGGGCTCCTGCCTGAGGTCCTCAGAATCCCACTGGGACAGACCAAGGCAGTGCCCCAGAAAGCCATGCTGGGCCCGGCTGGGGCCCACCCCAAAAGCAGGGGCCAGGGAGGGGGCGACTTGCCTGGCCCTGAAGCCCCTGCCCCATTGGCCCCAGTTTGCATTCTGTGGGTTTTCCATTTTAGTGGATTTATGCTTTTATTTCAGAGAGAGACATGCGTCTTCTCTGTCCGTTTTCAATAGTTAAAGCCATATCAGTTAGACTGCAATACTTTAAAGACGAGACAAAACAATCCATATGTTTAGGGAACCAGAAAAGTCCCCTGGTCTGTCCCTTCTTTGGGCAGCTGGCCCTCGGTGGCTTCAGCTTCCTGGACTTACCTTCCTCCCCCGCCTCCAGCCCCTCCCCTCGTGCTCCTGTGTCCGGCCCCCAGGGGCCTGTATCAGTGTCCGTGCCTGTGTCTGTGATGGGGAGCCGCCTTGCACCCCCATTGTCTGCTTGTCTGTTTGTGTCTGTTGTCCTGGGCAGGATGGTCGTTCTCGAGAGTCCTGGGGTCCTGGGCCAGAGACAGGCAGGGCCCAGTCCAGGGGACCCAGACCTCCCAAGCCCTGTGTGCGAGCCTCGCTTGGACATGGGTGGATACCAAGTGTTCAGAGAGGTCTCCCCTCCCTTGGCAGCGGCCCTCAAACCTCAAAGGTGACACCAGGGCACAGAGTGCCGGATGGCGACCAAGGCCCCGGGAGCTTCAGATGAGCAAGGGAGCCCTGCCGAACCAGTTACCCCTGCTGGGCCGGGGAGACCCCAGGCCCTCAGAGGGCGTCCCTGGCGGTTTCTGCAGGCCCTCTGCACTCCCAGAGTGGGATCAGGGCTTCCCAGTCCCACCCCCATGCCCTCCGGGTTGGGTACACATCTGAAGTCTCTCTTTTGCTCCTGAGCAGCAAAATTTGAGGTCTCCCTGGAGGTGGGAAGAGGGGAAGAATTTCTGCCTGGCACATACCTGCCAAGTGATCGCTGTCAGATCCAGGGGAACACGTGACTGTCATTTCTGACACAGATCTGACTTGGCAAGCAGTTCACTTGTGGTCCAGAGAGGGTGTTGGGCACAGCACACTGGTGGGGCACACAGGGCACATGGGGTGCTCAAGCCAGGGAAGGATACTCACAGGATGCAGCTGGGTGGCGGGTGGCGGGTGGGGCCCACTGGATGGGAAGGGGCAAGTGTGCCACGTGCAAATGGGGCCGTGTGCATTGCCACACTTAGGGAGAAAAGACCCCAGAGTTCAGCAAAGGGGAGAGGCAGGGGAAATGGTGTGTATGGGTGAGAAATGCACACGGTGCTAGGGAGCGCACACCTCCAATGTGGGCATGTGTGCTTGCAGGAGGGCCACCGGGCTCCCGAGCCTGGGATTCACCGCCAGAGAAAAGGGATCCTTCTCCGGATCTCCCTTGTGCTGGGCGGTGGCAATGAGTCTGTTTCCAAACATGGACGTCTCCGCTCTGCGTCCAGAAGCACGTGGGAGGGGTCCTTCACTGCAGAACTGTGTGAGGCGTTCCTCCAAAGAGAATCAGGGCATCAAGACACGTCCAGGGTGTGTGTGTGAGACAGAGAGAATAGGAATGAGGGACAGAGAGACAAGCATTGCAGCCCTCTCGGGTGGGGCAGTGTGGCTGCCCCAAAGACTTTTGCATTGAGCGTGGGCGGGGGTGGGCTCCCCAGCCCCCAAGAACCCCGGCTCCTGGCTGGCAGGGCTGCCCACCTGCTCTGTCCCTCCACGGGTCCACAGGCCCTCCACCAGCTGCACAGGGAGACAGGGCTCGGACTGGCTCAGATGAGGACATCTCCCAGGCCCGAGGATGTGCCTCCCACCGAATGTTCCCTGCTCCAGGTCCCACTCCTGGTGCCCACGCCCCTCAAGGGAGAGAAGGGGAGATGCCCGTGCTGGGCCCGGGGTGGAGCAGGGGTGCTGGTGAGCCCAGGTGAGGTCGACCATCCTGCCATGCGGGGGATCCTCTTTCCCACCTCTGTGCGGTGTCTCTCTGTTGCTCTGCTTCCTTTCAATGTGTCAGTGCCTGGGGGGGGAGGAGCACCCCCTCGCGCCCCCCTGAACCTGACCAAAAGCCATGGCTGTTGCTCCTCCCTTTGTATGACGCAAATGCTGAGATGTACAAAACCAACCGTGACAACAAAGAAAACGACCTTGTACAGCGTCTCTTGGTCTGTCGTCCTCTCTGTCGGCACCACCAGGGCCAGATAGGGCCCCGGCTCGGGAGGGAGGGGGGACCACCCACCATGCTCGAGAGATCCCAGGAACGCTTCAGCCTTGCCCTGGCTCCTGGCCAGCACCCTGGGGAAATGACTCCAGAAATCAACCCAGAATGGAGTCGAGCTGGGCCCGGGTTCCAGGATCCTCCCACCTCCCGTCCTTCCAGAAGCAACTTTGCAGCCCCAGGGCTGGGTGGTCCAGGCTGGCCCCTGTGCCCTATCTCTGACCACCCTTGCTCCCAAGCTCCTTGGGGTGTGGCCACCTGGGAATGCCATTCCGCCACACAGGTGGCAGAGCTCTCTCAGACACTCATTGCCCAGACGTCTGCTGGGCCACGTGCGGGGGCCTGAGGTCACAGGGAGAGGGCACCACTCGACACTCCTCCCAGACACACATACTTCCCGGGCCTGGATGAGGGGTCAGGACCAGACCAAATCTCCCCTAGTCTCGTCCCCCACCAACACCCACCTTGAGTTAGGCCAGTTCTTTGCACTCGGCCAGGCCCTTCCCATGGGCACACATGGGTCTTCTGGCTCCTACCAGCCCCCGCCACGATACCCCCTACCCCACCCCTGCCTTCAGGGCTCATCTAAAATGCAGACTTCAGCTGGGCACGATGGCTCATGCCTATAATCTCAGCACTTTGGGAGGCCAAGGCAGGAGGATCACTGAAGCCCAGGAGTCCACGACCAGCCTGGGCGATATAGCAAGACCTCATCTCTACAAAAAAAGCAAAAAAATTAGCAGAGAGAGGTTGTGCATGCCTCTATTCTCAGTTACTTGGGAGACTGAGGTGGGAGGATCGCCTGAGCCCGGGAGGTCGAGGCTGCAGTGAGTCATAACCATGCCTCTGCCCTCCAGCCTGGGCGACAGAGTGAGACCCCGACCCCCCCCAAAAAATGTTTAAAATGCAAGCTTTGCCGTGTCACTCTCGGCCCAGCACCCACCAATGACCTGTAGGATGTCATCTGCCTATAGGGTAACGTCCAAATTGTCAAAATGGCCTTGTGTGATATGACCCCAACCTGCTGGTCAGACCCCCACCTACCTCTGTGCTCCAGGCGCCCCCAGCCCCCACCCATCCCACGCTGTTTGGTGTTTGCATATGCTGCCCCCTTTGCCTAGGACAAATGGTGCCCTTCCCCTCCTTGGTGAACTCTTCTATCTTCTCAAGCGCTAGCTTAAACGTCGCCTCCTCTGTGAAGTCCACCCTGATATAGCCCCCACCCCTCGGCCAGAGTAGAGCATCACGTCTGCAGGTGAGGTGGGTGATCATCGCCGCTCTGACCTCTGCAATTGCTGTGAGGGGCCAGCGGGGTCCCACCTGCACTCTGGTCACTGCCTGCTAAGCATTCGCGAGTGGTGCTGCTCACG